CAATAGTGCTCTTGATATCGATTGCACCGCGACCGTCAACCACCCCAGTGGTATGGGTCCCGACAACCCCTCAGGAAGCAGTTGATTACTATGTCTCCAATCTCGAAATGGACGAAGTGCCGGCCACAAATACCCAAAATTCAATCAATACTGCAAATCAATCTGCACAGATGTGTCGCTCACTCTACATGCTCCTTAATAATGGCAGGACAGCACATCTTCTATCCATAGCCGCACTGCGCAATCTCTTTGTAACCATTCAAAATGGACTTTAGGAACACATCTCTAGGCTTGTCGATGTATTCAATGCGCAGTAAATCTCGATAAATTTCCTTTAAATCTTCCTCTGATAGGACTGGTATAGACTGAGAAAGCTAAATCCTTCGTTCTCTGCCATACCGACTGCAAACCACTTACTGGTTGGGAAAATTGAGCATGAAGGTCGTCGTTCTCTTCTTGTGGACTATTAAGATGTTGGCTGGCCTCTATTGATAAATGAGTAGGGTACCCAACTCTTAATTCAGCTCGACAACAGCTTTCATTAAAATTGCTTGGAGACCTACAAGGAGGTTGTGCGACTCAGAGTGCTATGAAATGAGCGAAGTCTAGTGGTAAAAGAAATTCGAGGATTAATCGATTGTAAGGATATTTCTAGTAAGCCAAGCGGTAGGAGAACCGGCATCTAGTCAAAGAGGTAGTGTTCAAAAATTTTAACAACTCCTTATGCCAAAAAACATGACTCGTTCGCGGTCGTTACTAAACTTTCTATAAATATGGATTATAAATAGGCAAGTCTACATCATTTGTTTTTAGAAGAACTGTGAATGTGAATGTGAGCTTGGAACTTATCACCACTGGTGGACACTCACTGCTGAGCTTGTGTAGATTTCTGTGGTGGTTGCTCCTCTTTGGTAAGGTCATAAAACGAACCATAATTATCCAAGGCACCACTTTGATCGAACCTCAGTCGGAATTTCGACAGTCTTCCACTCGTATCATCCTCCTCTCCTCCACTCGCGGCACTCAAAGTCCATAGAGGAGAATTAGAGATATCCCTAGTAAGTCTTATGGATGATTTTGGTGACGTTGTCCAATGTGTAAAGCTGCTCCCGTCAGACAGAACAACTTTTTGTGGGTACATCGGGACCACTGGAGGAGGTAGTCGTCTTGCTTTTCTGGCCATTACATGACTATTTCCATACACGTATACGAGTTGCCTCTGACGTTCTTGAGGTAAAATAGCGGCAGGCAGACGGCGCGGCATTAGTCGAGTCGAAGGGAGAGACCAAAATATACAGCAAGTTTTTTTCCCCTCTCACCCACTTTCATGCTTCGAGATCAACTTTTACAAAGCTCGAGTCTGAATGCCGCTCTGCTGAAAAACCATGGAAATCAAGTTTCTTACCTCTTTACCTCCCAAGAAGCTCGTTTGCAAGATTTAGATTCAATCTTTTCACTCGCCCATAACGGCTTTCAGCTCCTCGCCACCTTGTCAAAGCAACTGGCAAATTTTAAGACGCCACTATTATCACCTGCCGCAAAGCTTACAGACAGGACACACCTTTCTAAAGAGGAGAATGAAGATCTGGATAGGACAATAGAGGCCTTGCTTTTCGCCATCTCACCATTTCTAATGGAGCAAGGTGCATCGAAGATCATTGAGTGGCTGGTCAGGCGATTTAGGTTCGTGTACGGTATATCACCCTATATTAAACCGTTTCTAACTCGAATTAAAGGGTCCATGAGTTCAACGTGGATGCTCTTCTGACAGTCTTCCTTCCATTTCACTGCACGCCGCAGTTTATCAAACTGATTTCTCTTCTGCATATACCGTAAGTCTGAAATGCCAAAGAGCATGATAGAAATACTGAATCGTGAGGAAAATGGCCCAGTGATAGTTCGGTTTGGTCCTTCCTCCGAGTATATCAAAAAGCCTTGACTCCTTTGCCATTCGAGAAGCTCATTCAAGCAATGAAGTCCAACACATTCTTATCAAAACACATATTTGACCTTATGGGGAAATACATCGAAGAGAGGAGCGAACATCGAGCAGCCATCGGGTTTTATTTGAAGGTCAACTTGCGTTACTTGTCAGAAACCAAACTAGACGATCAAATAATCGGTAACATTCTTTCGAGTACACTCGTGTCAATATCTACCGTCGAGTCCGTGGATGCCGCGGTAAGCAATCATAAGAAGCGGCCGTGGTACATGCACTAATCAGACTTGTCAGGCTGCTTGTCTCCTGCTCTTATCTCAGCTTTCTACTCAAGTAAAGCTTCATTTAGATGCACTAAATTCAATCCTCATCTCCATCACCCGTCTGAAGGCCCCTGTAGAAACGAGTAGTCTTCTCGTCAGCATCTCGCTCATTCTCAGACATCAAGAGGGTATAAAAGAATTTCCTGTGGCTCTGGTCCAGTATCTGGAGGCAAAACCCGATATTATAGATAGGATCTCAGAGCCAGAGGATTGGACATTTCATGCATCCTTCCTTCGCCCATGGGTCTCTATGCTTTGCACTTGGCCAAAAAGAGATATAGGAGTCAATCTATTGATCCATCTTCTCCGTTCCAAGCGATTTAATCGCGACGCTTGTGTGGTTGTCTTAGAGACTATGTTACAGTCGTACCATTTGACTTCTGCTGATGATCGGGAGTGTTTCATGCCAGTATTCCGACACATCAGCGGCACATATCCGGAGGTACTTCATCAAGTCATTGAGACATTGCGAGGTTCATATCCAACGCTGATATCTCAAGAAGTGGACAGACTGATGACGCAACGCTTTCAGGTATGTCCATCAAATAAGCGGAGGTTCTATATGCATTTCTCATCGCCCTTTCTACGTATAGAGACGAGGATCACCAGACAGTATAGAAACATCCTTAGAAGCTGGCTTCCTGCTTGTAGCACACACTGAACCTTCCTCACGAGTTCGTGGCATACGTTTAGTTCTAGAGGCATATAAAACTGCCGATGGTGAAATAAAGTCGCCTCTATCTAGGCGCCTACATGACATGATCCTTCTTATGATGGAGGATACAGATGTAGAAGTATTACGGGCACTCCATTTGGGCATAGTGGACCTGAAAAATCACGTAACAAGCGAGGAGATGGTGATCAAACTAGAGTCAGTGCTCCAATCGCAAGTAACAGACATTTCAGCGGAGATACTCTCTGCGCATGCTTCCATTTTGGAAGAGATTGTCACAGATCAGGACAAAAGGACGGGTAGGATTGGGAAATTACTTTTCCCATTCTTAATCTTTACAAAATCACAATGTCGAAGGACTATCTCGCTCTGGAAGGTAATCCAGCAGTCAAAAATGAGCGACGATGCACTTTTGAAAGGTTGTGACCAACTGTTTCCACAACTTGATTGGAAAACGCTAAAGGGAAATGCGGATATATTGGCCTCTTATAATGAATCTCTGATATCTACAATGACCTGTGAGTCATGGTGGTGCTATTTAATGAGCTAAACTGACAAAGTATAGCGAATGTGATGAGGTCACCTTCATATGACAATATCATCGTTTTCCTGTTGCAACAAGCAGGTATACCTTCGCGGTCGTCAACACGATTGCTTGCTCTCATTCTTCTTCACGGTCTTTTGGATGCCGTGAATGGAAAAAGGAAATTTGAGCTGGGTATCCGCCTCATTCGTTTACTAGCAAATGAAACGACGGGAATATTGAGTTTCAATCAAAGGTCATTGATTGACGAGGTAATTATGTTATTCAATTTTTGTTTGCGGAATTGACAGTACAGGCAAACAGATGGACTCGCAACGAATCGACTATGTTAAAGTAGTTACAAAGCCTGAGCACCAGTCGACTTTTTTCCGGTGCGCTTGTGCAATAGTGCTCTTGATATCGATTGCACCGCGACCGTCAACCACCCCAGTGGTATGGGTCCCGACAACCCCTCAGGAA